TTAATGATTTCAACTTTTATTTTCATTAAGCATACATTCATTTTGCAATATTTATGAGTACGGAGGCACTTGTCTAATTAGGCATTATTGTACAGGAAAATATTGACTAAACCACAGTATCTAATATAAAGTATAAACAGATTTGTATGAGCTCATCTGTATAATCAAGATAGAACTATTAATATGAGTAATAGTAGGACATATAAATTCATGTGTCATGGCCAATTTGAAGACAATAGGAGCAGCATCCACGAAGATTTTGCTGTGAACCCTTGGACTAAAGAATGGGAGAGAGAGAAGCAATTTGTATTAGTTTGGAAGAGTATTGGATCCACTGGGTTGGGATGCATGGTATGTTATTGGGCTGAAAGCTAGTTGTTTTTAACTGAATTTACATATTTGTACTGAGTTTGTGCACTTAAAGTGTCCATGGGACCTCAAGCTAATGAACCCAAAACAAAGTAGTTAAAATCAGGACACTAATGGAGAAAATGGTGAATTTAAACTATAGTAAAACCATGCTCTATGCTAGGGGGTGAGGAAATGATTCAAAACTAAGGTCAGGACTTATAATTGGTTCAAAACAGACAATATGGCTACTGATTGCAGGAAGAGTGTTAACAGCAGCTCCTGAGAGAGCTGTCCATGGTCACTGTAAGGAGAATGGACAAACACCTGAGTGAACATGGACATTGAGCTGTTGTGCTCGTGCAAAAGGGGGCAGTGTCTGTCTGGCTGGAGGGTGTAATCTCTGTGGAAGCAGGGTCCTGGCCTGACTTTTTCTCTACTGTGTCCTTAAAACCTAGCATGTTGCCTGACACATAGGAGGTGCTCAATATGCATTTCATGAATGAATCTATGGAAGTGGGTAGAAAGGTAAAGAACAACTCAGAACCTCAGTTATGAGAGGGGGAGCAGAGTTCATCCTGATTTTGCTGGACTGGTGTTGACTGTGGATGTGTGAGCAGTTGGCACCTTTGGTCAGGTGTGTATCAACTTGGCAAGGCAGGAAGTACAAACTGTGGAGGTTACTGATACATACATATAGATAGTGGCCAGATAGAGAGGACCCCTAGGGATATAAAAGGGAGGACAGGCTGAATTCCATGAGTTCTGATGTTTTGGAGAGAACAATTTTCCATTTGTCATCCTGGGGTGGTAACAGTGCAAAGTTAGTTAAGAGAAGCAATAGTAGGTCCGTGACAGTGGGTGCGCTCTGTTTGAAGGCCTTTTGGCAAGTAGAGTGGTCTTAGTTTTACTACAATGGGTCATTACAAAAAAAATGTTTTACAAACTTGCCACGTTATAGCTAATGGGCATTGGGTATTATTTAACTTCTCTGGGCCTTATGTTCTTTTTAAATTAAATTAAATTGAATTTATATATTTATTTTAGAGAGAGAGCGAGTGAGTTTGAGTGGGGAGGTGGTGCAGATAGAGAGAGAGAGGCAGAGAATCTCAGGTGGACTCTGATAAGCGAGGAGCCTGATGCGGGGCTCAGTGTCACCAGCCTAAGATGATGACCTGAGCCGAAACCAAGAGCTGAACGCTCAACCAACTGAGCCACCCAGGTGCCCCCTTACTTTTTAGATCTAGAAAAAGAAAATAGCTATTCCATGGGATTAAATGAGATATTTGTAAAGTGCTTACCTCCTTGTTTGGAACACAGTAGGTGCATACATAATCATGATCAGGTTTTTATTTATTTTTCCTCAGTAAATAGTCACTGCAATTACTCTTCTTCATATAATACACAGGGTGAAATCACAAGAAAGAAATGTATTAGACAATACTTAATGTGTATGGTTTCATAGAGGGGGAAAGACTGGAATTCATAAAGAAATCCTTGTTTGATTTTGTGTCATGTAATTTCTACAATGACTTACAGAGAGAATTAGCCCCATTTTATAGTCAAAACAGAGGCTTAGAGAGGTTAACTGGAAGAGCCAAAGTCAAAGCTAGTCAGCAGCTGAGTCATGATTGAAACACCTCGTTTCATCTTACAGAAGAAATTATTATTTTCCCCTCAGTCTCATGTTGTGCGAAATAATAGTGATGCAAAAGAAGGAAGAATTATCAGTGACAGGAAGAGGGAAGACGGTGAAGGGTTTGGAGCCTGATTGAATGTGCAGGGCAGAAAGTCAGAGGTGCCTTGTAGGGCATGGAATCATGGCGCCGCACCAACCAGTGAACATCGTGTCTTTACCATAAAGACCAAGAGCAGATGCTTTTAGCTTCAATACCTGCAGGGAACCATGCAGAGGCAAGTAGAATTGGGTGGGAGCCGGAGTTGCTTACTAACACGCCTTCAAGATCATTTTTTCCCTCCTAGTGACAAAAAATATTAAGTATGTGCCCTTGCAGTTCTTTCATGTAGAAAGTTCTTTTAGACAAAAATTTCTATATAAAAACTTGCTTCATTTCTAAGACAATAAATAAAATTAGTGTTGAAAATCGCATTCCATGGCCCTGAAACATTTTGAGCTTTTACTTGTAGGCAAAGTCTTGCCCCAGTGTCTGCATGAAAATGAGAGAAAGAAATGAGAGGGAAGCTAAATTGCACAGCAAGGTTAGAGAGAAATTGGAAAACTGAAATGAGTTTATATGGGAGGTCAGGTACCCCTGCCTCTTGAAGGCCATTCATTCTCCTGATCTTTCTTCTCTAAGGGACTGACTCAAAATGAGCCAGAGTGTGATTCAGCCTTTTGAAATAAAATAACGCAATTAATAGAAGCTACGAAAGAAAGGTAGGGGAATGCTCATTTTTCTTATTATGTGAACAACTCTCAGAGCCAAAAGTGAGAGTCATCATATCAATATTAAAGATGGTAGATATGAATATTTTTGGGAGTGCAGAACAAGTATAATATTGCCTTCTAGCTAATTGTGCAATTAATGAGAGCCATTGATTGAACAACTAGCAAATAGGAGTTGTTTTTCTTTAAAAAAAAATGTGAGATGCTTAAGAGAGGGTGAGATCATAGTCCCTAAAGTTTCTGAAGTGGTACAAATAAGATAGAGAACAACTGTCCTTGATCTGCTGTGTTCCCTACTGAGAGACAGATTTTATAAAATGGAGATAAAGAATGAGTGGTTGAAGTATGCGTTCCTTTGAGAAACAGTGGTCATCTGGTGCCTGTCAAGGTAGTTGGGAGATAAGAACAAATGGAATTGTACTTAAGGGGTTCTGTTGCTTAAAGGTTTTTTAGAGTTTGTTTTTTACTGCTGTGTAGCATCTCTCAAATCTTTGTGGAAACTCTGATAAGTCTCTGTGTCTATACTTAAAATTCTAAGCCCTGTCATGGAGAATTGTTTGGGCTGGAGGGTGTGAAGGAAAAGGATAAGAGGAAAGACAGGTATTTCTTCCCTTAAAGTCTGTATCAGCTGCTACAGCCATCTGTGTAGCTGCCAAGCAGAAATAAAAGAAACAGAGAAAAGAGTAAGGAGCACACAGAGAGGAGAAAACAAGGAAGCTAGGCAGCATTTAAGTGTAGGGTATTTCATTTGAAAATATATTCTATAAAAAACTGTTGTAAACACAGATCTGTCGATGAAAAACTCAAAAGCAGGTTTGTATTTATCTGACCCCCAGCATATGCCGTGACTTTCAGGCTGTGTGTCTTCCTTCCAGAGATTCAGTGTGTATGTGGCTTTCTTGGAGATTTTTGAAAGTGCTTTTGGGTAGTAAGAACAGAACCATTTCTGGCTTTGGTTAATCTAGACTGCGTTATCTGTTAGCATCCCATCAGCACACGGCCTCCCTCTCCTAGAAGCCCTCTTACTGATTCCATGTGCCCATCTCTGCCCAGCTCTGGCACCCTTTGCCTTCTTCAGAGGACAGCCCTGGGCTATGGAGCTGCTTCACGTGCCTGCACAGAGAGCCTGGAGGAGCCAAGGAGTTTACCTTCCCCTGGCGGGGCGGGGGACAGAGGGATAGTAGGAGCCACATCTGACTGGAGCACTCGATCCTCAAGGCAGGAAAAATTCTAATATGATTTAGACCTCAGAGGTCCTTGTGGGATCAGGCTGAGGTTGAGATGTTGCTTGAAATAGCTCCCTTGATCGACTTCTTCCCTTCCCTGCCCTGCTTCCCCCACACCTGTACAAGTTTCTCCTGGAGCATATCCTTAATACATCACTTGCACATGAATCCTGACCTCAGCATCTGCTTTGGGGGAACCCAAAATAAGACAACATGTCCTCCTACACACACACACACACACACACACACACAAGCATCACCTCAGAATATCTTAAAGTGTCTTGGTATTAATACAAATGCATCGATCTTTCTAGTACACCTTGCTAGCTGGGTATGGGTGGTATTACCCATTTATGGGTAATAAATCTATTATAAATCTATATAAATAAATCTATTATAAATCCATTTATGGTAGATAAAAATTTAAATTTTATGCACAGAGAATATTGTGGCTACTCAAGGTGATAATGAATAAGCGCTCTTACTGAACAAGTAAGATTATTCAGTTTCTTCTACAATAAAATAGATACAAAGGCTTTCCAATAAAGTGGTTTTCAAAAATAAATAAATAAATACAGTTGGTTTTCAGCTAAATGTGATTTCCTATTGAACACTTCTAGAGGGGCGGCTGGGTGGCTCAGCTGGTTAAGCGTCTGCCTTCAGCTCAGGTCATGATCTCAGGGTGGGATCGAGCCCCGCTTAGTCGGGCTCCCTACTCAGTGGGGATTCTGCTTCTCCCTCTGCCTCTATTCCTCCCCACCCCCCAGCTTATGCTCGCTCACTCTCTCTCTCAAATAAATAAGTAAAAAATCTTTTTTTTTTTAAAGAAAACTTCTAGAGACTCACAGATTACATTGGTTTTTCTTTATCTTGACAATTATGTGCAATATATGTGAAATGGGCACTAAGTCTATTAACCTATATTTAAAATTTTTAGTATGATTATTACTCACCTAATTCCCACAATTAAACCAAGTGCTTTATGGAAAAACAATGATATCATCATTTTTATTTTTTAGATATAAAGACTGTTTCATCATCTTCATCCAGAAGTCGCCCATGTTCTAGTTGCAGTGAAGATGAGTCTGCACCGGGAGATAGAGAGGCCCACACCGAAAACGGCCTGAACAGAAGGGACAGAAGTCCATCTTCTCAGGAGTTGAGTGAAAGTGATGAGCCAGGAAAATCCCACCTTCCAACTGAGGATTACTTAGAAGTTGAAATTGAAGACCAAGAAATCGTAACAGCAGATGTAGAGACCAAGCCTCTGCCCACAGAGGAACGCTTGGAGAATGTTCTTGAAGAAGAAACGGAGAAAGGAACCCAAGTGGTTGCAGAGGGGTTATCTGAGAAGTCCAGGGAACATGTTTCCACAGAAGAAAAAGAAAAGGATAAAAGTAGGCTTTGGGAAGGAAGCACTGCTAAGGTGAAGGACAAAAAGGCAGGTCCCCATAGGGTGGAAAAAGATGGTAAGTATGGCCATTGAGCGGACCTGCCATTGTTCCCATGCATGGAAGCTGATTTGGGTCCTTACATTTCTGCCAAAGCTTGGGAAATGCGTTTGTGATAATGCCAGAGCCATTCAATTTTTTTCTTATTTCTCTCTTCGTCACATAATCATACATGTACTTTCAGCTTGCTGTTTTCCTTCTATTGCATTTTAAAAGTTACTTGATAAATCTTACATAGCTTGTTTCCTATTTTCTGTAAATTCCTTCTGTGGTAAATCTATCTCAAGAATCAAATAAAACAATATGTGTCTGAAGGCAAGGTATGTGTGGCTTTTTAGAGGTGATTTAATATTAGAAATACTATTTGTTTTTAGCTATATATTCACTTATAGATACATATACATACACACACACACACACACACGCATACATAGCTAACATTGGTAGGTGCTTACTATGTGCCAGTTCTAAACATTTATATATATTAACTCATCTGCTCCTTACAACAGCTCAGTATCCCCTGAGTTAGGTTCTCTTATCATCATGTCTTTTTTTCCACAGGTGACAAAATTGTGGCTCAGAGAGGTTAAGTAAGTTGTCAAGATTATATAGCTCCTAAGAAGCATTCCTAGGATTTGAAGTCAAGCAGAATGGCTCCGGTTTTTAAAGATTTTTCTATTTTATCTGTGCAATAGGAATTTAAATTTAGATAAAAATATGACAGTTTCATACAAAACTCCAAACTTTACTTTGAGTTCTTCTCTGAAACTGAGTGATTTCGATTTCCTGACCCAGTGGTCACTGGGTGAGTATGCAGGACAGTTCCATTTGATGTGGGAAGAGTGAAGAGTGTCCCACAATAATCAGGTCCCAGGACCTTAGACATGTGGAAGGTCTGATGCCTCTCTCAACTTTAGAGGGACAGTTAAAAGACCAAGTTGTGTCCTGTAGACAGCTGGATCGTGCCTGCCAGATGCTTGGCTCTCACATAGCATCCTGTGCCCTGTCACTCCTCTTCTTCCCCTGTTCTCTCTCATCTGTCTCCCCTGCCAACATGGTGGGCATTCTTCTTGATTCCGAGATAAAATCTGTTTTCACATTTTAATATTACTAAAATCATCTGTTTTAAAGCTTATGATTACTTGTAATGTCTCTAACATTTTTTTTAGGACCTTAAGAGCTGTTATTAAACCACTGGGACCTGCATCTAGAAATTGAGGATGTTGAATAGTTATCTTTCCATTCAATCATTATTATTCACCTTCTACTACGTGCAGGGCACCATGGTCAATAAAAAATGTGTAAGAGAGGGTGCCTCCCATCACATGTTAAGAGGAAGGAGTGGCACCAATAATTGGACAAAGGTCAGTAGTCATTCATAAAACCAGAGAAGGTACAAATGCTATGGAGTGTCAAAAGAAGGGGAAAGTCCCATTTGGTTAAGTATACCTTGAACGTTTTTGTGAAGGATTTTTTTGAGGAAGGCTTTAAAGGTTAGATATGATTTTTAAGATCGAATGGAGGAAGATAAAAGCATTCCAGATAGTGGGGTGTAGCAAATTCAGATAACTCTAGAATATACAGTTTGACAAACTTCGACCCACAGGCCCCATCTGGCCTACTGCCTTTTTTCCTTCTTTTGCACTTTGCCTGTGAGCTAAGAATGTTTTAAAAAATTTTTGTTTGTTTTTAAAATTTTTCAGTGGTTTGAAAAAAATCAAAAGAATAATATGTGGTGACATGAAAAAATTAAATTCAAATTTCAGTGTCAGAAAATAAAGTTTCACTGGAACAGAGCTATGCTCATTTGCTTACATATTATTAACAGCTACTCTTGCATTGCAAGGGCAGAGTTAAGTAGTTGCAGCGGAGACTTCCCGACAGCTCACAAAGCCCTAAGAATTCACTACGTGGCCCTTACTAGAAAAAGTTTACCAACTTCTGCCCTGGGATTAAATACCTCTGAGATTTTCAAAGGGGTTTTTCCATATGTGAGTTATGATTCTTGCTAAAGTATATTTGAAACCCTTTTACAAAGTAATTCAAGTCTTTGATCGTGGATTTCATTGTTCAGTTCTAGAACATATCCTGTACAATTTAGGAAATTTGTACAGTTTGGGAAGCTGCCGCCCAAAAAATGTAGAGATGCTAAGTTCAGTAGTAACAGTGATATTATTTCTCTTACTTCCTCTTCAGAAAACTAGATTGTTTATCTGGACTTGTGTATACAGACATCTTTTTGTAAAGTAAGATGTACGTACTGTAGGCTATATTTAGGTGATGGATGGAATAGCAGAAACATTGGGTTAGAATCATGCCACTCGGAAGAAAGCGAGGTGGTGTTTTTTTCTGGATGTGTGAAATGAAAAGTGTGTAGGTTTATCATTTTTCTGACGTATTATGGGAAGTCTGTGTTCTTGACTTGATAACATCTATAATTCTAAAGCATTTTGTTATCTTTTTATTAAGGCAGGTTCAACACTAGATGGCAAGGTTTGTGACTTTTTATCTTTCTTAAGCTTTAATAAATGTCGCAGGCCTCTTTGTCAGTGTTTATTTTTTGTTAACAGCTTACGACATAACATGAAATAACAGTCAGAATGTAGAGGAAAGTAGATTTAAAAAAATTACTCATAGATATAGCACACACACAAAAAATCACCTTCAACATTTGGTCAGGTTTTTTTATTTCTAACGTTAGGGTTTACAAAGTTATGTTGTCGTATTTTTTATAAAATATTATGTCCTGCTTTTTATTCTTATTGTTATAACATAAGCATTTTTATGTTATTACGTAATCTTTATAAATATGTTCAATGTCTGTATGTTATCCCATTCTGTGGTTTTCTTATAACCATTCCCCTATTATTGATACTTATATTTTTCCCTATTTTCACTATTATTAATAGTACTCTAATATCTTATTACCTAAGGTAATTTAAAATCTATAATTATTTTCTTAGGCTAGGTTCCTAAGAGTATAATTTCTGGATCACATATTAAGGCTTTTGATAAATTTTTTTTCTTATAAAGGATTGGTTGGAAAGTTTAAACAATACAGAGCAGAGAGAATGAAAAGAAAGCTAGTGTTCCTTGCCCCACCTCTACTCTTTCCCATGCAACAGAGTCATAACTGCGAATATTTTTTAGGCCTGATTCCAGAAAAATTTCTCTCTATACACATATATAAATGTATTCATATATTACATATATACATATATCTTTATAGACAGATGGAAACATTATACATTTTGTTTTACCACTTGCCTTTTTTTTCACTTATTACTGTATCTTCAATACCTTTTCATATTGGCACACATAACTGTACTTTATTCTTAATCACTGTACATAGTATTCTACTGTATTGCTTTAGTATTTTATAACTTTGCAAATTTTCTTAAAAATATGTTGCCTTCTGTGCAAGAACTGATAGATTTGTTCTATGACTCAGCTTCCACAAAAGAACAAAATTTCTAGGTTATGGAGGCCCAGAGGCAGAGGGAATAAAGTACAGTGGAAAATAAAACATTAATAGATTTAAAAAAAAAACATGTAAAATGTTCAGAAAGATGTAGAAGGATTAATGCTTTCAAAACCCACGGATGCATAGACTATAACTCTTGAGTGCTGATGTGAAATGATACAATAAATCCGTAAATATTTAAAGTAACAGATGAAGAGAGGTCATAAATAGTCTCAAAGTCCCTTATATGAATGAATATTTCTAAGAAAATTTCAGATAAAATAAACCAGGTCTTGACTTGCCTGATGCCAAGCAAAGAGGTTATGGCTAGTTCCTCTTTCTTGATGGAGTCTTCTGTTAGATGGCTCAGGGAGAGAGGGATGGAACCAAAGTTAATGCTTGAAGAGAAGGTCATGTAGGTGACCATGGTGCATTCGATCAGAAGGCATGGTAAAGAGTGAAATGTGTATTATTTTATTTAGATCTCTGATTAGAACCTTAGGTCAAAATGGGGGCTGAGATAATGTGTAGAAGATTATCTCTGATATTTGTTTGGTGCTAATTATGAACTGTGATTATGTTAGGGATAGGTCTGTGGGCTATAAAATTACACTCAGGTAATGATGTTTTATAGTGTACAAAGGAATACAACTTAATCTGAATTGTTTTCACTTAAGATCATAAGAGTGGTTAAAGTAGTAAAGTTCTACATTCAATACCTTTGTGCCTTTCAGAGAGATAACATAAAGCGATATTTTTCCTTCTATTTTATATGTCTCACTTAACTGGGCTTTGTCCAGTCCACCAACAGATCAGGTGAATTGATACAAAAGATGTGTTATACACAGTGAAGTGGATAAAATAAAAGATTATAATTGCTAGCTACAGTGGGACAGGGTACTTGGGAGGTAATTCAGTATGATAGGGCATAGTGTTATTGTAATGTGTTTATTTTTCTCTGTTATCTTCAGTTTAAGCTGTCTTAATGCACTATGACATGCTCTTTGCTTTATGTTCTAATAGTAGAACAATTTAGGTAGATTAATTTGTGAAGTTAGTATAATTTATACATTACAAATATAAATAAAATGTTAAGAACAGAATGTTGTAATAAAAAGTATACTGTGAAATGTATATGGAAGCAGGCATTTTATTCTTTTATATGTGAATGAGAAGAGGTCATAGTGCTTGGCCAGATAGTCTAAGCCTAAGTAATGTAATGGCTAAAGTCATATGCAGTCTGATTATCATGCAGCCAAGTTGGGTGGTCCTGATGAGAGAACATGACAATCATGTGTTGTGAGTTGCGGTCTAAGTGCAATTTCTGGATGAATTGTGAAAGCACGTAGTTATTTGTTCCAATAGATTTCCTCTGCCAATAAATAGTTTTTTGGTTATCTGCTTTATGCCACACTGTTCTTAGTGTGAGCGTGATGAAGTCCCTGTCCATATTGGAGTTTATGTTCTCTTGCGAGAGATGCCTGACAAGTGAAAAATAAACAAGTACTGGGGTATTCTGGCCTAAGTGTAGAAGAAAAACAAATCAGGGTAAGAGGACGAAGCAATGGGCTGAGGAAGGGCTGGTATTTCAGGGATGGCCTTTCTGATGAGGGAACATTTGAGCAGAGACCTGAATGAAGTGCAGGGGAGAGCCACTTTGCCAGCTACAGAAAGCGCGCAGGAAGCAGAGGGAAGAGCAAATGCGGGGCCTCTAAACCGGAGCTGAGTGAAGGATCCGGAAGGGAGGCTGGTGTGACAGACGCAAACAGATGAACAGAAAGTGGCGGAAGATGAGGCAGAGGGAGAAACTTGTATGCCATGGGGAGGATTTGATTCTGAGATGGGAGCCATTGGAAAGGTTTGAGCATACAAATGACGTGATCTAAAAGTTGCAGAAAGATGATTCTATACCATTCTATACTGTGTGGAGGATAGACGGTAGCTCTCCACAGCTGTCGTCTCTGAACAGCTGTGGGCTTGGGTTTGTAATTAATCCTGGGTTTGTGTGGGCTGTGCTTTGATGCCGGGGGGAAGCAGGAGCATCTTCACCGCGTAGGTAGATGGTGTTAGTCATGAAGTTTGTCATGGTGACTTGCTGGGAAGATAATTGATTGGTTACACAGAGAACGATCTAATCACACGCATGGTATTCGAGGGCACCAGGAACTTGGGATAAACTTGGATAGATCTTTACTCTGCCTTTATAGCCTTCTTCTTAAAATTCCAATGAAAAGTTCTTGGCAAAACTTTCTTCTGATAGTGAATTGCTCAGGGTTATTAGTATGTTTTGAGATGGGATCAGTTTCTTTTGTTTCAAAACAAGCAGAGAAGAGGGGATGAATTTAGAAAGCTTGCCTACTAACATTGAAAACAGTATCCTTGCCACCAGTTTTCAATTATAAAATTATCAAATATAGAAAGAATTGATGGAAATTGTAATATTGTTAGCAAAGCACAGGGACATATGGCCTTCCATCATTACAGGTGAAATTGTTTGTTGATACCTCCTTTTTTTGAAGAATATATAAAAAACATATATCAAAAGCTTCTAAAAATATGCTCTTTGAGCGAGCAAGTCCAATTCCAGGAATTTGCCCAAAGGGAATAGTCAGAAAAAAATACAAAAATGATTATAAGTCATATTTAAAATAGCTTTATAATCACACACACACACACAAATGGAAATAACTCAGTATTCAAATCAGGCAATTGGTTAATCAAATTTTAGTAAAAACTTATTAGAACATTCTATGTAGTTACTGAAGAATCTTTTTTTATTTAATGATATGTGGAAATAGTCACAATATATTGCTAAATGAATAAAATGGGGTACAAAATCCTATCTATACTAAGAGGAGAGTAAAAAAGATACATAGAGATTCACCCAAATGTTAACTAGTAGTTCTGAGTGGTGAAACTAGGATAATTTTTGTTTTTTCCTTTGTACTTTATAATCTTTTAAAGCTTTCAGTAAGAATATGTACTATTTTTCTATTTGGGGGATACTGTATATATTATTTTAAAATATATTTGTTTTCATAATAAAAAAGCTAACATCAGGTAATAATATTTTGGTATTTAACAAACATCTTAAACTATCCTATATCATTGAAGTGGAAAAAGCACTTTTCTAAGAATTCTAAGAATTCTCTCCACTTTGCTTTGAAGGCTGTGAGAATGGACAGTTACCTTTGCTTTTAATGGTCATCTTTCTATATAGAGAGGGAAGGAGAGGAGCCTCGGCGGGTGAAGGGCTAAGTAGTTAAGGACACAAAGTGATGTATCACAGTGCTGGCGCCGGGCTCCACGGGCACAGTCCTCCTTTCCTCTAGGTGGAAACCCTCAAGGTTAGACCCTAGCCAAGTTCTTGCTTTTAAGGTTCAGTTTCAGAACATCTGAGGAAAAAAAATGACCAAGTGAGGCCTTTTCTGGTCTCACACCTAATAAGTCCTTGGTGCTCAGGCCAGGGTCCCATTCTTGCTGAATCTGTAGCAAGCCAACACCTAACTGTATATCTACTTCCAAAAGCCTACTCATCTATTTCCAAAGCCTAACCCTCCAGGGGCAAGCCAGCAGACGTGGCCAGGTGGTGAGGACAGTCCTGAGACAGAGGGACTACATGCTTCACTGTCCATTCTGAGTGAGTTGTAATTTCCAAATTATGCTAGTACTGTTTGGCTTCTTAGAGTAGTCTGGTTCAATAGCTGCTAATTGCTTATTTTAATTATTATTTATTATTATTATTATAAACCATATTTCTTTAAAAAATTTATTGGGGTATAATTGATGTATATTACATTTTCTTAGGTGTATAACATAATGATTTGATATTTGTATGATAAACCATATTTATTTATAGTCTGGCTACCTGGAAACAAAATCCAGATGTCTCATAGGCTCTGATGAAACAAAACTTCAAGTCATTGCTATGAAATCAGACTTGGTCCCATCCCCCTGTCCTACCATCTTTGGGATTTCGATTGCTCCATCAGCCAAGCAGATTTATACACAAGGATCTAAAATACTGCTTATTTATTAAACTCACTAGTTATATACTGTTAACATTATTACAGTGGGCAAGATGATATTTAATTTTTATGTACTATGTTTATAAAGTTCCTAAAATAAAGGTTTACTTGATAACAAACCCAACTATAATCTAATTGTCATGAGTTGATGTCATCTCTAAACTATATTATTGTGAAAATCTTTTTTACTTGTTTATCGGATAAATGAGGAAAATTGATGTTCAAAAAAATTTTTTAATAGAATACATTTGAACTATTTTATGTACCTCTTTTCATTTCCATGTTTGTTCTCAAGATTAATAAAGTTAAGTCATTCCATTTTTTTCCCCAAAGACACATGAGGCAGACATTTCACTATTTGCTTCCAAACACAGATGAATCAGTGAGTAACTAATTACCCCTTAGCAATTCACCTTAAAGTGAGCAAGAGACCACATTCTAGTTCTGTTTTTTTCCAAGTACAGTCTTTGGATCAACTGAATCAGAATACATGAAAGGAAAGAGAGAAAAAAAGAAAGAAGGGAGGGAAGGAGAAAAGGGAGATATGTTCTTACCTGGGAGGGCAGACCTAGGTCTAGTGTTATTCCAGTGAGCTTTAATTAACCAGAAGATGGCATAATGGTAGGTGTCAGGGATTTAGGTACATGGATCATGAGATGATAGGTAAGGGATGTAGACAGGGACATGTCAGAAATTATAGACAAATTTAATTGATATTACAGTGTTGCCTAGAATCATGCCAGATTCAGTGATAATACTTAAAGTAGGCATGCTCATCATCATCATGGCTATTATTTATTAAATGCTTAGGCACCTGCTAATAAGTGAAAGATAATCATGTACTACATATATTACTTTAATCCTTCTAATAACTACTGAGTAGATACCTTTTTTTGACGGATGGGTAAACCGAGGTTTAGGCTTAGGTCAAAGAACTTACCGAAGGTAACATGGTTAGTATGGAGTATAGGACTTGAACTTAGGTCATTGGGTTTCTGAAGTTTCGTGGCTGGTTATCAGCTGCAGAGAACAGGAATTTCTACAACAGCTTTTACTGTCAAATATATAAGAATCATGCACTAGCTTTTTTTGCTCTGTCCACGTGGAGTGAGTATTGGGGTCAAATCACTAAAATCTACTAATGGATGAAATGCTCATAGTATAGTCAGCACTGGTAGTCTTAGCAATTTCAAAGAGCTGGTGTTATAAAAGTGATGACTGGTGTTATAAAAGCCATAACATGTGTTTCTAGAAAGGAAAAAGCAACTAAACCTTGTTTTCCATCATTTCATTGCATGTGCATTTGGCTAATCTGTCACTGCTTCTGGCTGTTGTCTTTTTAAAGTATTTCTTTGCATGGATTTCTTTACTTTGTGATCTGCCATTGTGTTTTCTTTTTTGAAATCACAGCTTGGAAACAATCTTCATAGATTTTTTAAAGAACAAGGTCACATTTTAATGTGAATACTTTAAAATTAACCCCACTTGCTGAAAGGATGTGCAATAGCTCAGCAGTGTTCCCATGACCCGTTTTTATGCCTTTTGATATTTCCTATGATCTCCAATCAGTTGGACAGACTGTCGCTGAGGCTGTGGAACCTGGCAGCCACCGGCACTATGACACCGAGTCTGGTGTTAGCAGCACGAACGAGGAGAAGCACTCGAGGAAGCTGGAAATTGACATGGGTGCAGGTAAGGGCACAGCATTACCTAAGAAAGACCTTTAGAAATCCTCTGCGAAAGACAGCCCCTCACCCTTGTTTCCTCCTTCTTCCACCTTTATTTTCTTTCACCTAGTGAATTTGATGGCAGGAGGTGGCTGAGAGGCCGTAAGGGGAGCTTTAAAGCTGACATCAGATATGAATGTTACTATTCTTTTTTGAATATATTAGTGCCTAGATTGGAGGGAAAAAAGGACTTTCGAGCATAAAAGATATATTGGTAGGGATTTTCAGATCAGTCTTATTTTGTAGTCGGCCTCCCAGTTAGGTAGGAAGATTTGCCTAACTGACGCCCTGGAGACAGGGAGGGCCAAGACACATTTCACAGTGGTTTATTTGAATTTCTTATTTTTTTTAAATTAGGGAAGAATTCATTGCCATCAGCATATGACCTGGCTCTTGGTGATGAGTATTCCAGCTGCAAGATTGCCAATTAGAATGATTCAACAGACCATGACTCATATCCATCAGGTCAAACACCCTGTGTCCTTGAAATCAGGTTTCCCCATATTTAGTAAAGGACTTTTTAAAACTGTCCTGATTTGAATATATGTATGTATATACGGGGGGGAGAGTTATTCATTTTATTCATCATATGGTCACATTACCCCCACCTCTGATTTTTAACGGCAGTCATTAAGCACTGTGAAGTATTTGAGATTTTACCCTATTTTCAAGCAAACAAGTTAGCCAGCTACAGTTGCATGGTGTGAGCAGAAGACACAAGATTCCTGGGTCAGAGAAAAAGGACTTTATTACAACAAATAGGAGCCAGAATATTTGCACTCACGCTGGTTCCCTGAGCTCCAGTTCCCTCTGGGGAATGTGGAGAGGGCCCGGTGGCACCTGAACCTGCATAGACGAGTTACAGGAGGAGCCTGACTGCTTAGGGAATCCAAATCTTTGTATGGTGAGCATTCCACCAGAGGAGTTCTGGTATACCTCCCAAACATTCTGCAATGCAGGCACGGTAGCTGTTATTGATCAAATCTGGTTCGAGCAAGAAAATGTAATTTATCATAAACAGTGGAAGGGAAGGATGGAAGGAAGACTGGGTAGGGCCTTCTGTGTGCCAGAAACTGTGCGAAGCGTTTTATGGTTCACTATCACAAAGATTCTCTGAGTCAAGCATTTCTGCTCCCATGTTATGGATGAAAGAATGAAGGCTTAGAGAAGCGTTGTTTCCCAAGTTCATACAAATAGTAAGTGGCAGAGCTGGCGTTCTCATACAGCTCTGTCTGACCCCTAAGTACACACTCATTGCACGAAATCAAATTGCCTGTTTGTGAATATCGCTTGCTCTCTTATATTCTTTTTTTTTCCTCGAAAACCCAGGAGGTTATTATCAAAAACCATGTCATGTTTTCACACTCATACTTCTTAGAAGGATTTCAATTACTCTTTCTCCCTTACTTCAGAAATGTCATGTCTGACTCCCCTATGGTGCGCATGTTCATATAATAGCTCAGCTGGATGCCATTAGCCCTTTCTCTTCTAGAATTTAGGCATAGCATATTATTATATGGTGGCTGAGCAGTTTTATTCTCCTGTTTTCCTTAATGTTCTTTAATTAATCCATAAATTTAAAGACCAGCTTAGCAAAACAGAGGACTTTATTTGTTTTTCATAACTGACTTTTTAACATACTTTCATGCAGGAATTTGAATAGCAACAGATATACTATTAAAGAGACTTGACACACATTATTTTAATTTAATTTAATTTTTAATCCAACAATAATCCATAATGAAATACAATGGACGGATGAAATAAAATTATTTCAGGTGAATTGGCTACATGTTCTCTGAATGAACATTTGGCTCCATATTTCCCTCTGGCAGCTTGTAGGTACAATTTAGTAAATAACTGCTGTGATGTGCTGAGGGCCACCTATAAAAGTCAACACCAACCCTATTGATAGACCTGAAATTTCTGTTACTTCTTTGAAAGAAGTCACCAAAAGTTACCTTCCAAATATATTTTTTGACGGAAATGTAATATCATCTATAACTGCCTTACTTCAAAATGGTTTATTGTGATAGCTGGCAAAAGGCCAAGAGAATGCAACAAAGGGCAGCTGTGTTTTGTGTTAGGAGAGGAAATGGAGTGATCAGACAGTCCTGGATGGGGTATCAGAACAGGGAAGAAGTGGTGAATAAAATCAGGGCTCTAGGTTTCTGATAGATCCTTGGTAATGAGGAGGGGTGTGGGGGTTAGATGGCTGGCCAAAAAGACAAGCAATACAAAATATGAGGAAGACATATTTGCCTACTTTATAAGTTTACATAATTTGGAGGTTGGCACACTGGTATGATAACTTCTAGCATCTAGTCTAGTGTTTTTTGTTTTTTTTTTTAAGATTTTATTTATTTATTTAACAGAGAGAGACACTGCTAGAGAGGGGGAATGGGAGAGGGAGAAGCAGGCTTCCCACCAAGCAGGGAGCCCCATGCAGGGCTGGATCCCAGGACCCTGGGACCATGACCCAAGCCGAAGGCAGACACTTAACGACTGAGCCACCCAGGCACTCCTAGTCTAGGGTCTTCTATAAGTGAGAAAGATTAGATTGATAGTAAAATCATTAAGATGACCATTTTAGGGGCACCTGGGTGGCTCAGTTGGTTAAGCGACTGCCTTCGGCTCAGGTCATGATCCTGGAGTCCCGGGATCGAGTTCCGCACTGGGCTCCCTGCTCAGCGGGGAGTCTGCTTCTCCCTCTGACCCTCCTCCCTCTCATGCTCTCTGTCTCTCATTCTCTCTCTCTCAAATAAATAAATAAAATCTTAAAAAAAAAAAAAAGATGACTGTTTTAGAAGTTCCTATCTCCCTAAGTATTATCTGCATTTGGAAAATGTAAATGGTTTGGGTATTTGGCATGACATCCTTTTATTTATTTTGCATGGGTCATTTCAACAGAAATGCATGTATTTGTTAAATAACAAGAAATGCATTTGAAGCCTTTAAGAAACATATTGAGCCTAGATTTATTGAACTATGATGGCTAGTACAGCCAGATTTGCCAGGGAATTATGGATGAGAACTTATGAAATACTTCAAGAAGGTTATTTATGTTGAAATTTGTCCCAGACTACAAACTCCTGTATTGTTCTCTGATCCTGTTTTGCCAAAGGCAAAACAGTTTCTGAACATAGACGGAAGGTATCCTGACCTATAATACAAATTGGTGTCTTTAGTAAAGAGCCTTACTTTGAGCTACAAAGTTATTTGATGACTAAATCTAGATATAGTAGCTTTAAAATGTGGGAGTAATATATGGGATAATAATCAGCTCACACTGTATTGTGATTGTGTTGCTGAATACCCACAAGAGTACAAGAAACACAAGCTGAGGACACACATATTATGATGCTCTAGGGCATAATGATTTCTAAGAAGATGAAATACTGTTTTTTTATTACATAATTTTTCTGCAAGTCCTAATATTTCAAATGAAAGTAGGCAGTGTGTGTGTGTATGTGAGAGACTGAGAGAGAGAGAAGGCAGGGGAAGATTAAGATAAGGAGATTTTGTTTGTTTTCAACATTTGTGACGTTCACTTTTCCTTTAATATCAATGTGTCCATTAAATAGATAGCACTTCTTTTCCTCTCGAAGAGCCATTATTAAATCATGGTGCATGTTATAGTTGATGGCATCATAGGATCGAGGAAATGTTTTATATATAATATCAATAGCTTCTTGATATTATACGTATCTCATATATGGTTATATAGACTATCTCCTCCCTGGGCACTTTGATTAAAGTAACTGTGTTTTCTAACCTTATTTTATAGCACCACACAGGAATTTCGTGTTGGAGGAACGAGCAACACTCAGCTCCGACACAGAATCCAAGCAAGGTGCATCGGAAGCGTACACACTGGAGAAGAAAGAAGCAGTGGAGGGCGATGAACTTCCCCAGCACGGGGATGCTCACACAACAAAAGAGAAAGGGGGTGCAGCACAGTGGGGAAAAGCAGCGGGGGTTAATGAGGTTCCCTTGGGGGAGGGGAAGCCAACAGCCCCAGCTTTAATAGGACGATTTACTGAGGAAAGAGAGATCCCTCGGGGCATAGCAAGTGGGGCAGAGGCAGAAGCAGAAGGGGATCCAAGGCTGGATAAAGAGGAGTCAAGCCCCAGGGGAAAAGAAGCCACCAGAGCCGCGGGAGGTCTGAAAGAAGATGAGGCTCCTGAGGAGCCGGTCTTGCTGCCCACAGTGCTGGAGACTGAGAAGGTGGCTGCCGAGGAGGAGCGGGGCTCCCAGCAGGCAGTGCTTGCAAGTGAGGCAGCCGCTCTAGACTCAGCGCGTACTCAGGAGGCAGCAGCCATGAGGGAGACAGTGACACAGGCGAAGAGAGAGGCTGAGAGAGGCGCGGCCGTGAGTGCTGCAGGGTCTGAAAAGCCTGAGGTGAACAGTGAAGAGCAAGCATCTACAGCCCTAGAGGACCCGGGAGCCTCTGAGAGAGAAGGTGGTTCAGAAGAGGCAGTGCTCGGGGCCGAGGAACCGGCCGAAGAGCGGGAGGCAGCTATGGGACCGGGGACACCCTTGAGCTCCTCAAGTTGGGAGAAGGCCGAGGCAGCCCCGACCGGGCTTTCGGAGCGCAGCCTGGAAGAGCTTCGTAAGGAAGATGCTGAAAGGGAGGAGATTGGGACTGAGGCGGAATCCAATAACGAAGATGACAAGAAGGAAATGCTACCCGAGGAATTAGGTGTAGCAAGAGAGAGGACGAAAGCTGAGAGGCCAGAATCACCTCTGCAGGAAACTGAATCTGAGAGGCAAGAGGTGACCAGGGCAAACGCACGGCCGGGGGAAGACATTTTAGAAGAAGAGCACAAGTTTAAAGGGGAAGAGCAGGAAACCGTGAAGGAAGTGAGATCTGAGGAAGAGACCCAAGTCTCCCCAAATGAAATGGAGTGTGATGCCGAGGGTGAAGCAGCCACGGGGCCGTTGGAGTTGACAGACGACGCAGGGCCGCAAGGAGGAGATGCACTGAGAGAGGGGGGGGGGCGCCATGTTTGAAGCGGCACCTGGGTATGAAGAGTCACTGGAAAACACAACTGCTCTGAGGAAACAGGAAGGAGGGGAAAGCCCGAGAGAAGCCCGGGACCGCGAGCACAAAGGCAGAGCAGAGTTGCTCCCCAGGGAGAACGGGGCGGCCTCGGGGCAGGACCAGGGGCCGGGCCCTGACGCGGAGGGTGCGTCAGGAGCTCCCGAAACGGAGCTAGCAGGAAGGGGGCAGGCACCGGAGGCAATGATCGCAGCCCCAAGTGGGGCCCAGGAGCGCGCCGCCAAAGATCGAGATGGCCTCGCTGGACTGGAAGGGGATGAGGAAGGGCCTTTGCAAAGGCAGCAAGGAGCGGGGGTCACAGCGGTGACCCAAGAAGATGTTTCTGAGGAAGATTCTGTGACGGCAGGAAAGCTAAGTGAAGAAGCTATGGATGAGGAGGCAGATAAAGAGTGCGCTCGGGGGACAGGAGTGAGGAGGAACCGGGGCACGGAGGGGGACGGGAGCTTGCAAGGAGGCGCGGTGGTGGCTGAGGAAGATCTCCACCAAGGAGAAGAAGCGGCAGGAACGGCCGCAGAGAAGAGGGAGGTGTTGGCAGATTTGAAGACAGCTGAGGGGAAAACAGAGGCAAATAAAGCCTCCCCCCTGTCAGATGTTGCTGGCAAGGAAACTGGGCACAAAGTGGAGGAGTTACTAGGGAAACCGGCAGCTGCCGAGAAGGTGGTGGCAGGGGAAAGAGCGCTGAGCAGGGAGGAGGTGCGGGCGGTGGAGGAGGTGACGGGGACTTGGGCACCGGAGGCTGAGGTGGGGGCTCCACGAGAACCTTCCGGCCCGGGAGGGCAGGCCCCACAGCTAGGGCAGGATCCAGAGGGCGGGGGAGCTGCAACCACGCAGCGGGCAGAGGCCGTGGGAGAGGAGCCCGGCCCGGGGAGCGGTGACCAAGGGCAGGAGTTGGGTGCAGGCGAAGAAGTCAGCCCAGGAGCGTCCCGAGGGAGAAAGTCAGAGCCTAGGGGAGAGAGTCTGCAGGGCGTGCAAACGCTCCCTGTGAAACCTGATCACACGGAAAGCCAAGAGAGGCAAGAGCCTACAGTGCAAAGAGAAAAGGAGCACGTGCAAACGCAGATGTCTCCTTGAACAACATGAAGGCCTAAGAGACTTTGGGGCAGAAGGTGAGTTTAAGCCCGCTCTGTTTGCAGGATTAAACAGAGTCCCCACCTGAGGTTCCCTCCCCTTTGGTCAGGCTCAAACCTTCATCAGTCCCTGCATACACCCGCACCCAGCGGTGTCAATTCTCAAATCGATGTTGCTTGGCCTCAAGCCCCTGAGGACAGGAGCTGGGGAAGACGGTGGTGGGGCCAACGCACACACAGGGACCCACTTCTACTCCTTTTGCACCCATAAGTCATGTTCTCTGCTCTGCAAGCACAGCTCTCTGAAGAGGTGAAATCCATGTCTCCTTTCCAGGGCCCTGGAGATGAAATAAAGAGAATGGGCCACAGGGACATACCACAGACAAAAAGAATCAAACTCTATTCCCAAATCCATTTCCCGTTTAGTGTTTAAAAAGATGGCTCTGATAATTTACCTTTAAATGGGCTCTATGCCCTCATTTCTGCAGTTTTTGTGAAGTTTAATACGTACACAGCATAAATTATAATATGAAAAATATATACACATTATAAAAATATATGTAAAATAGTGCAGATTGTAACTAAAGGCCAAAATTATTTTTAGCATTTCCTGTATTCCTGCTATTTCCCTGATGCCATCATATCCCTAGTGCCCAGTTTCTACTATCCTGAGTGATTTTACGCACAGTCCTATCCTTTTTTATTATTTTTCAGGATATTTGAAAGATGTCTTCTGGAAGACTTAAAGACTGGAGAAAGATTAACCCAAGCATCTCACTTAGAACTTTGGATTTTTACCTTTTTTTTTTTTTTTTTTTTTAAATCCTCGTGCTTGTCTGAGCTGGTTCCCAGTCTAGCAGTGCTGGTCAGGAGCACAGTGAGCACCTTGAAAATAACTGGATCCATCTGTAGGACCCTCTTTAGGGGCAGCGGTTCCTAATGGAGGACTGTGAAGCTGTTATGTATTCAACATAGCTAACGTATCTCTATTCAAATCCAATTGATAGTTTTCAAATGTTTGACTTTTACCAGAGATCACCCGAAAGGCTCAGTCCTCACATCTGGGGTTTGTTTAAATTCCTCTTTTATTTATAATCAAATATTAGTTCCGGTTTCATACATTAGAGTTTTATTTAAAGTCTGTGGCTTGGGGCTTTAATGACTTGGTTTGTGAAAATGAGCTCTAAAGGTCCTTCCGTGTACACTCAATACTAAAGATTGTGCCAGCCCTGTAAATCCTTCCAGAAAGGGATTCTATGGCATGTAGATTCACTTACACTTAGAAATATTTATTCATCCTTTTTATGCCAGAAGAGTTAAGTGGCAACTTATTTCAAAATGCCCTTTGCTTTTTTTTTTTTTTTGTATGTGTTTCTGTCGTTTTGCTTTCAAAGGTAGACTTAAATGCTTGTGGCATTTTGTCCCTGGGGGCCTTATTTATAGGTCCATTCAAATGTAAATCAAAGTAGTAAATAATTTAGCTGACTGAAATGAGTAACAATAATTATAGCAGGTAAACATTGCACATCAGCACATACATCAACATTCTAGACTCCGGATTCTTTGGTTGATGTCATTTGATGGAAAAGAAACTTGGATTAAATTAGTGTTCTGCTCGCCTGCCCAAGTTCTGTTATTTCAAACCTGTGAACTAACCTTGCAGGGCATTGTAAATCAACAGTCAGAATCACTTTCTAAATTACCCGTTGATATTACTAGAAATAGCTGTGCATCAGTGTGCCTACTGGGGATTTTGATTTCCTTGAAGACATCTTTCTTCCTATACCAGGACCCTAAAGGGCACATGTGTTTGGCCATCTTTTCTCCCATGAGGAGGTGAAACAAAATTTCCTAAAGCAGCGATTCTCCAGCTGGACTACACATTAGACTTGCGTGGAGCACTTTCATGAATGATTCAACCCCTGGCCCCCTGGCCCACAGAGATTTGGGTTTAATTAGTTTTAGATGGGTATAGACGTCAGGTGTTTTGTTTTTTGGGGGTTTTTTGTGTGTTTTTTTTAAAATTCGGTTGATTCTACTATGTAGCTAAAATTGAGGACTGCCCTAAATCATCATATAATCTATGCTGACTGCCCTACACTCTAGGCCCCTAGGGACCAGGCATATTATCTTTATAGGTATGTTGCATTTTAATAAAGGAGTCCTTGAATGATCAAAGATATAATGGACCTGTGGTTCTCAAAATGTGGTCCCTTCATGAGGATATCAGCATCCCCTGGAACTGCTCCAAAAATACTCATTCCCGCCCTCACCTCACACCTATTAAATTGGAAACTCTGTGGCTGGGGCCTCCCAGTGGGTGTTTTAATAAGCCCTCCAGGTAATTCTGATGTACTCTAAAGTCCCGAACTGCTCTCATGGACTCTGGATTGTACTGAGGATTAGTCTCAGCTGGAAAACGGATTGCAGAAGCATTGTGAACTTTCTCTCTTTGTCTCTTTTTCTGTGTCTCTATTTTTCTCCTTTTCTCTAGGAAAGGGTACTCACTCTAAAAGTGATGGATTCATCTTGAAGCTTATTTTTATTATGACCGTAATGATGTGTTTATGACATCTTCCAGCCCCACCCCCTACTGAGGATGAGCACCTCTCACAGCACACCACAGATCGCCATTGTCTGTCAGGTTTCATGAGTGGGTTTCATCTACAGTATATCTAATTTCATTTATTACTGAGCTGCATTACTGTGGAGCCCGACAGTATTTGTTTCCTGATCTCAACCTCAATGCTACAGAGCACTTTGAATACATAGCACCTTATGAGAAAGATTGTAAACTTGTTAATTCTATTGAAGAATGAGTTTTGTACAATGTGCTAAATGGAAATTGCATTGAATTATTTTTATATTTAACACATTCTGTCAAAACATTCTGTAACATAATCCTACAATCTGCATGTGGGTTTAAGTGTGAAATTCACTGTTGGGATATTTTGATTAAATGAATTTCTTTCTCTGCAAATACTATGTTGATAAAACTATTTGCATGTTCAACTGAACTGATTCCCCCCTAGTTTCATTATTAAAAGCATAAATAAGCTGTATGTTTACAAATAAGGCATGTAAATGATTCTTTATAAATAAGACTAGACTTTGAAAAATCTTCTTTGTCCTTTCCTTATGAATTTAAACTCTATAAAGTAGAGAAAGTTTGTTTCATTGGGTTGTTTATATTGACTGTCTGCAAACACGTCTGCATTCTTACATGTCTTTCCCATACATGAGATAATGTCAGAGAAGAAAATTATCACCATTTCATGAATAAGTAAATAAAAGCTCAGTAAAGTTAAATGGCTTGTCGAAAATCATGGTCAATCTCAGGTCTTCTGACCCTAAACTCTGATGTTCTTCATCTCACACACTATCTTCTAGGAAGAGGTATAGTAAATACACAGCAAGATACTATATGTGCACTTCTACATGTTTTTGTTTACTTGTGCAAGGAAGGAAAAGACTTACAAAGAAAGTAAGGAAGGGTGAGTTTGAGAGTGACTTTGAGAGAATTCCAGCTGTATTTATTCCCTGTTCTCTTGCACCTCTTACAGCTGGCCACAGTGGCAGAAAACTTCTTTTAATAGATGCTTTTGGGGGCGCTGGTGGCTCAGTCAGTTAAGCATCTGCCTTCGACTCAGGTCATGATCCCAGGGTCCTGGGATCAAGTCCTGCATCGGGCTCCTTGCTCAGTGGGGAGACTGCTTCTTCCTTTCCCTCTGCTGCTCCCCCTGCTTGTGCTCACGCTCTTTCTCTCTCTCTCCCTGTGTCAAATAAATAAATAAAATCTTAAAAAAAAAAGATGCATTTGGGTGGTTTGGAAGAGTCAATAACAAATCTCATTAATATATGCTATATCAGCACAGAGGGAGTTATATTTCCGGCCAATCAAAGAATATGGTAAGTTATTTAAATAATTCAAGAGAAAACTAGACAACCAAAGTAAAGGTAGGCAGAATTAGGCTGTGTAAAATTTATTATTTATTTATTTATTTATGAGAGAGAGTGAGCAAGCAGTGGGAGGGGGAGAAGCAGACTCTCTGCTGAGCAGGGAGCCTGATGCAGGACTCGATCCCAGGTCCCTGGGATCATGACCTGAGTGGAAGGTAGATGCTTAACCCACTGAGCCACCCAGCTGCCCCTGTAAAATTTTTTTAAGTTAAGCTTTTTCTGTGGCTTTATAAATTCTTGTGTTATAAATTTAAAGTTGAGTTCCTTAATACTTCTAAATCAATAATTTTGCCACAATTATTGCCCTTGGAAAATGATTGCTTAGGGAAAGAAAAGAAAGCCTTAAAGATTCATCTAATAAGTAAAATATTCTAACAACTTCAAGGACAGCCCAGGAAAGGCTTCTGACCTTGGGCAATATTTCTTTCTAGTCCTCTATACCCACCTGATTGTGTCATTTAAAAGAATCTCCCTGTCAGCATGGCCAGCAGCAAGAGGTACAAGGGAACAAGGAATAAATATAGCTAGAATTCTTCCAAAGTCACCCTCAAGCCCACCCTTCTTTTTTTCCTTTGTTTTTTCCTTCCTCCTAATACCATGCCCTATGATAGGAAAACTATGATAGGAAATATAAATTCTGTCAGATAAAATGCTGGATATTTGAGAATACACATTCCTTTTGAAATTCCCTCCAGAAGTCTCAGACTGTTTAATAATCTGTGCAACCCTTACAATATTTTGTGATGATGCAATGCCCCCATTCTTCATTAGGGAAAATAGAGTACACAGAAGATTCCTGGGACAGAGAAGCTTGTGCGAAAGTCTATTTAAGAACCAGCTCTCTACCTCCTTTGTCAGATCCTTCCTCGTCTTTATTCAGTATCTACTTATAACTAAGGTTATGTTAAGGAAAAAAGTATAGGAGAAATCTCGTACTTGTTCAGGAGCTTGGTACTAAGGTGACATAGAGATCTTCAAGCTGGTGGGGGTGTACCCCTGAGGGGAAATGAGGCTTTTCAAGGGATTCACTACCAAGGCTACTTTGCAAGTGTTCAACATCCATATGCACTTTTG